ATACACACCTTACACCCACTCCGAAAATTTTGGAAATTCGTGTCATCACTTCTTTACTAGAACACCACACAGCACAAATGATGGTAACAGGCACTCAGTTACAGAGTGAATGGAACATCATAGGTAAGTATATTGTGGTACATTGACTTTTTAAAATGCTCACTGGGATCCTCTTCCACCAAGGAGAGAAGCTGCTGATCCCTGATTAGGCATTCTGGGCACTTCAAAGCGAAGGTTGTTCTTGTGGTTAAATGACACAGGCAGCAAAAATCCCCAAGCACATGTGCAACTTCCCTGGCTTCAACTCTGCACCTCCAGGGAGCACAGGCCAAAGAGGATGTGAGACCAGCCAAAAAAAGAGGTGTTCTTGGCTAGAGAGAACACTTTGCACCTATTTAGAAAGAGTGTTTGGAAGGTTTTCCACAAATGTAGGCAAGCACCTCACTCAGGCTGTGGGCAGGCGAAGTATTTGTAGCATTCTTTTAAGCATGTATCTTCAGATCATGCCCCTGTCACGGGGAATAATTACCAATCCCATGGATGTGTACAGACACTCAAATGAAAACACTGGGTAACATCAAAACAGCTGCTTCAGGGAATAAAAATAGTTCTTGGTTGCTTAGTTTTAAAAAACTTCTCTAGCAAGGACAATTTTGCAAAAGAAAAGCCTAGCACTTCTCTGTGGAAAGGAAATGCTTCATTCTTCAGCCATTTTTTCTAAATCTCTGCATTCACTGTTTAGTTGATACTCTTGAAGAACACATTATCTATGGTATTATTGGTGTGATATAAACTTGCACTGCTTTAAATTCTAAATACACCATTGGAATAAGCATGGACTAGTTAACACAGACTTCATTAATTCAATTTTTTCAAAACTGTATTTCTTCCCTACTTAACCATCTATACATGGGTGGTTATAAGCCACCTACAATACAAACTTACACAGTTTGAGTGAAAAAAAGGTTAATCCATCGATACATTTCCAGTTTATTTCCAGTTTTTTTTCAGACAACAGGTTGTTGCTTTTTTCATCTTTATATCTCTGCTTCAGATGTTTCCTGTCTTTTTCCTTATGCAATCAATGCAACTGCTACACCAGACCATTGGCAAAAAACTCAAGGAAGATATAAATGTTTTTAGTTAATCTTTTAGTTTAACAGTTGGAGGAGATGGTTTATCTTAAAAAATTATGAACCACTATAAAAGTTCACTGATTCAAGAATTCCTGAAGCCTGTGGAAGCTCTTCAATGAATTTAAAAGGGCTCTGGAGCAGATCCTACATTTCAAAATAGGGCTACTGGGTATTACACATGGACTAATGAACCAGAGATATCTTTCAATAAATACAAAATCTGAGGGGTGATTGTTTTAAGAGAATTTCCTCTGTAAGCACCCCAGTTTTACCCTTTGATGCAATTATCTTCTCGATTTATAGAATGTTATATCTATTATTAAGGCTTATATGCTTAGAAAAAAGAGTCAATAAGGCTAAGTCGAAAAAGAGAGCAATGAACAGGGCATGATGCAAACTTCAAAAGCTAAGTGCTGTAGAGAATCTCTGTAAGGAAATATCATTGTCCATTGCAGGCATGCTAGTGAATGCCCAATATATTCATTTTCCTGTGCCTTTAAATTTTTTAAAATTCTGTTTGTAAAAGCTCCATGATGCTCAATTACACCCAGTTCCTTTTGTGCAGGAATTACAGTAAATTTCCTCTAGTTCAGTAGTATCTTTGCCTCCAGCTTCTGTTAGGAAAGGGAGTTGGTGTTATTACAGTGAAAGAACGTAGGTAGCTCAGCTGCTTTAGACATGATCAGCTAATAATTAACCTCCAGAGCTGAGGAAATCTTTTATCAGTATCCCTTACCTTATTTGTTTGGATTTTCTGGTTTATCACAACCCCCCATGTCACTGCAATATGAAGCTCAAATTCCTGTATATCCATGTACTGCTTGATCCGGACAAACAGTTTTACACAATATTTCAAAGGCTCTATCATATATTAGTTTGTTAGAAGACAGGTCTCCATCCTCCTCATACAGTTCCACTGCTATTTAATGTGCACAACTCCTGACTTTAAAAGAGTCTAAGTGAAAAACCTCACTTAATTATCCAAACAATATTTCAGCTCTCATTCTTTCAACATAAATCCAAGCAATTAACTTTATTAGACTAAGAATCTGCAGTCTGGTGATAAAATTTCTCCTAGCTAGTATTAATTATAGTTAAACTCGGACATGGAAAGATCAGAATAATTTTGTGTCTCTTCTTTCAGATCAAAGAATGCAAATAAGATCCAGAAATAACTTTTCTATTCCACAGCAGCTGGCAAAGTCAGGTGTTAAGATTGGCTTTTACCATATGATCACAGCGACTACTAAACAGTATAAATTTTTTGAAGTAACAGCTTGCCAGTTCTATAGCAACTTGGACTATAGTTCCTGTTTTTATAAACTTCCAACCTTTATAAGTTAAGCCCATTTTTATTGTCAATACTCTTCAAATTTAACATAATGCCAACTGAAATTTTTCCCTTAATTCTTACATTCCCAGAAGTTACTAAAAGATGAAAAAAGAGAAGCATTTAGCTTCACTTTTAGACCTGCTTTTTCTTCAGTTTGCTAACTCTTATAGGCTTGGTTTAGCTTTTTGTTTTCTTGAGTATGTTTGCCACACATGCATGAGGACATAGAAGAATCAATAAAAGAAAGTTAACAGAGGTTTAAAACAACTCCTGTCTGCCAAGGCCATGCTTAGATTGACAGAGTCAACAAAAGCACAGATGGAGCAGACTAGGACACCTGCAAACTCTGACTGTTGGCTATGGGCCTCCTTTCGGTCCAAGAAATCAGAATTTTTGTAATGTGAAGCATCTGATAGACCACCTGAAGTCACTGGAGCTGCAGCTGATTGTCACCACACAGCCCACCCAACAAAGCATTTTTGCTTAACTTTAAGCATGTGTGCTTGTGATTAACATTTCCACAAGCACCTGCACTCTTCACTTTGTACCTGGCCAGCACAGGGACCTGCAGTCCCACTCTTCAGGCACTGGCAGTCCTCACCAGCCTTGCCTGGCCCCCAGCCCACGCTCCCTGCACAGGGCTCCAGGGTCTCCAGCTCTTTCTTTAGTCTCAGCCTCCCAAGCTACACTGTGGAGTGACTCCAGCCCTGGCCCCGTGTCCCAGACCAACATCAGATCTACACTGTACACAGCTTGACACCTGGATGGCTCCCACCCTGCAGCTTCCCTTCTGCCATGCCTTTGGCAATCCCTCCTGGATATGCTTTTTACCCATGTTGTAGCCTTGTCTCCACTCCTGTCTCTGCCCCGTCCCCTTTTGCTCCTGACTGGATTCTCTGCAGGGATGCTGGACTTGTTTCATTGCTTTGCCTTGTCTGGGACAGTCAATAGACCCTGCTCCCGTGCTCTGCTCATGTGCTGTGGGACTGCATCCTGCTTGGAGAGGGCACTGCCTGTGTGGGGTCAGCCTTGGCTCATGGTTCAGGGAACAGGCAGACCCTCCAGCTCCTTGACACTCGGAGGAGTGATTCAGTCAATAAAACCAATCATTTTCCTTGAATTCACTGGGCTTTGGATCAACCCATGGAAAGTTTTGTTTAAGACAATGGGAGTATTTGCAGTCTGCAAGATAAGCCCTTTAGTCTTTTCATTGAGCTTCCCCATGAAGTGCAGAACCTTGAGTGCTCTGCAACAAAAATGAGAAAGCCCAGGCATGCCAGGTACAGTGCAGGGATCCCTGTTAACATGTGCTACTTCAATTCCTTTAAAATATGAACATACCTTTCAAAGTGCAGAAAAGGCAAATGAGCTAAATAAAAAATAAGTCTATTTTCAGCCATAAAAAACCAGACTGTTTTATGAAACGAACTTTATACCATTTCTATTTAAAAGGCACAGAGTAATTTTACAGAGATCTAGGACCTCTGTCCTAGAAGACTCCATTCTCTGAGGAAAATCTCTTCCAGTGCAAAGTTCTAGAATCATTTTTCCAGTAAAAAGACAGGGATGATACAAAAAAATGAAAAGAAGGAAGGGGACACAGCAGAATATGTTATACTGATTATCTACTCCCACAGAGGCTATCTCAATAGAAGTTTATTAAATGTGACAGTTTTCTGATGGCTCATAAGATGCTCATAAGATGGCTCATAAGCCATCTGAAATTGTCTTACCATGGTCACACTATTAAATTATCTCAGCCTCCAAAACACGGTGACCACAGGGTGACCACACCAGAAGTCTGATTAGAACAGTTCCTGGCCTATGCCAACCCTTGAACCATGACTGGGAAAATGTGACTGGTCCAGGTAAGAACTTTACAGAATCTCTTTCAACAATAAATCCACACAGATAAGAAACCTCAGTGTGAGAAAGGTCCCTGAAATGAATTAATTCACCTGTAGAGCAGTAGCTCCAGCCTCTGAGGAATTTCTCTTACACTACAGTACAATGGCTGAAATGGTGGAGCCCTAATTTTGCTCACTCTTCTCTGTTTCATTTTGAAGCCATGTTGAGCCTGCAGAATCCCGTAATAACTGACATCCCACAGCCCAGAGGATACATGTTCTTCTGGGCTTGTCCAGCAGCAAAGTGAAAGGATTTGGGCCATCAGTCCCTCATGCCCTAGCTGGCCACCTGCCTGTGTGATCAGAACCCAGGTAACTACAGTCCCCACTGGGAACCACACCTCATGCCCAGTCAGAACACAGACTGCTTCCTCTCCAGCAAGGAAAACAAACCAGATGGGTTGGTACATCTGATAGTAACCAATGCCACATTTGCAAAGGTGTGGATCAACACATTTTAAGGATCAGTGACCCCTTTAATGGCTTCTCCAAAGTTAATGGAATGACACTCATAAAAAAGGAGAATTGGGCTGCTGAAATTTTGGTTTTGCACAAATATAACTGGGTGAAACACCTCATGCATGTGGGCTTCCTTCCTTTGAAAACTGAGGATTAAACAGTTACCTTCTTTAAATTTTGCTTTATGGTTGTACTGTCTCTCTCCACCACCTTCATCATTTCTTGGCTTGCCATGTACAAGATGTTGGCTGCAGAAAAAGAAATAGGCAATAATGTCAATACATAGTAAAACTGTTAGAAAGAACAATATGGACACAACTCCACAAAAAATCAGAGCAACTAGAGCAGTCATCATCTCAATAACCCCTGGAAAAGAATGACACTGACAGAAAGAGCAGAGTTTATCTCACCTAAGTAAATGATTAAAAAGGCATACAGACTGAACTAAGTCACCTCCTATTAATTAATTAATTCCACAATTAATGGAAAGGGAAAGGATCTTTGGATTGTAACTCTATCCTATCTATTGCAACTTTATCCTACAGACTTCTAGATCAGCCCATGGTGATGACTCTCTCCTGACCAGAGAATGAATTCTAATGACTAGCTTTCATCACATGCTTTTAGAAAGGTAAAGGTCAGTATGAAAATCCACTATGGGTTTTCAAGACTGGGCTTTAAATACAAAATATACATTACAAGGCATTATTAATCATGATGATTAGATTACTGATATCTCAATATGCAAATCATTCAAACATTCAACACAATAAACAATAAAAACAATGGCAACTACAAATATGTGGTTGTCCTCCATAAAAGTGATAGCAACTGTCCAGTCAGGACTGGACTGGACACCAAATGTCTAACCCTTAGCTTTCTGGAATGTGAAGTACTAAAAATAGCTTAGTGCAATTTATTTTGAGTTGATCTATAAGATACTGCCTCAGAAATATAAATGATTGAGTCTAACATTTGGACACCTAATTAATTTTATGAAGTCTTGAGTTCAGGCATGTCCCTTGTATGTTAAACAGCAATGGGAGCTAAGTACTTCTGAGAACTAGGTTGGTTTGTCTGGATGCCTAAATATTCACCAATTTAAACATTCTGACACAGAAGGATCACACTGTGTCCACCTAACCTGACTTCTCATACAATAGAACCTACAGAAGCTCAACATACAGCCCAAAACCAGGCTTTGGACAAGCACTTGTAGATTATGAATTCTGCTGCCAGAAGAAACCTTATGTATTCAACTGCAGAATCGGGAGTAGCTCCATGCATTATGTTTCCATAATATGAGAGGATATTCAAAGGGTGTTTTAATAAGGGCTACATTTCTGTCATCATCATGCTGTACTGAAGAAATATGAAGCTAGCCAAAGAATTAGCACTTCTGTTATCTCTTTTTTGGACCAGTCAGCTTACTGAGCTAATAAAATGGCCAAGCCTCTCCTATCTCTGATCACAGAGACATTCATAACCTACATGTGGGAATAAATAACAATATTCTACTTTCTCACCAGTTTGTAAAACCAACGTGGCTAAATTATCCAAAAGCACTTCAATTTCTAGATCTCAGAATGGCTGAAAGTATTTTAAGCTACTCAATCCTCTTCTGAAAACCAGGAGAAAAAAGAAAGATTCTGACAATTTAAAAAATCTGAACCAATGAAGTTTTGTGCACAAGTAGTTAATGACAGTGTTGCATATGATGCTGCTTTGAGACAGGAGTAAAACATTCTCACACTGTGAGATAGGAGAGGAAATGGCAATCACACAGGTCTTTGGTGGTGACCAAAACATGGAGTTGGCTGAATGCCAGCAGTACTATAAGGAAACAGAATGCCACCAGAGAGATGAGTGATGGCACTGGAGATCAAATGTTAATAGACAAAGCCAGTGCTCTCAAATGAAGAAAAACCAAAAAACCTAGAAAGTAATATCTAATTCTTAGCCAGCCAAAGCAGATGCAGTTCAGTTATAGGCCTGCAGAGCTCTGCCTTCTTCAATTAAACATTGAATGCAGCTCGTGCAAGTTCTTCCTTTCCTTGACAAGATGAAAGAGTTGTCATAGACAAACCAATAAATTTGCAGGTCCCATCCTACTCTGCTGGGAAAAGGGGTCTCTGTGCAGTTTCATGTCTAGCAATCTAGTCATCCAATCCTGTGGTGCAGCTGGTCTGTGCATTTACAGCATTGCTGAGTTCATATCCTGACACTGGTTGTTGTCTTTTCAATCCAGCTCCAAACTGATGAATCACACACCTCGTTTTCAGAAAGACACACATCTTTGAATGCATCTTCAAAAAACATCTAGGAAAAACTTAAATAAGAGACGGGAAAGAACTGGAACAAGTCCAGAGGGCTGGAGCACCTCTCCTGTGAGGACAGGCTGAGAGAGTTGGGGCTGTTCAGCCTGGATGACAGAAGGATTTGGGGAAACTTTACAGCACTTTTCAGTATCCAAAGGGGCTACAAGACAGACAGAGAGAGAATTCTCAGAAGGGTATGGGGTGACAGGACAAGGGGCAATGGCCTTAAGCTCAAAGAGGGCAGGTTTAGATGGCATATTAGAATGAAATTCTCTACTGTGAGGGTGGTGAGGCCCTAGCACAGGTTGCCCAGAGAAGCTGTGGTTGTCCCATTCCTGGAAGTGTTCAACGTCAGGTTGGACAGGGCTTTGAGCAATCTGGTCTAGTGAAAGGTGTCCCTATTCATGACAGAGGAGTTAGAACTAGATGATCTTTAAGGTCCTTTCCAACCAAAACCATTCTGTGAGCCCATAATGAGGAATTCCATAGGTATGTAATTCATTTCAGATTGAGTCCTGTTTCTAATATGGTAACTCTATGACTTTAGTGCTCAGAACTATTACCTATAACTGAAGCTGTTTGCCAAAAGCCTGCTCTGTGCCAGAAGGCAGGATGTGGAGAGCAGCCCTTGCTACTCTAAGTGCTGGTGCTTCAGGTGACCAAGGTGGCTCACTGGATTTAGAAGATTTCACAAAATACTAAGTGCAAGAACCTGGTTTTGGCAGGGTATCTGTAGCAAGAGGACTTGTAACAAATGCCATATGAGGATGTCTGGATGTCAAGAGTTCCACTTTCCAGCCCAGAATGCATGTCTTGCTAGCAGGTCACAGAAGATAGGACACGGGCAGACAGAGCTCCTGCATTACCTGGTGGTACCTGCAGTGGATGAGGCCAGGGATGACAATACCAGTGGCCCTCAGTGCAGAACCTGACAGATTCAACACTACTGGGACTGCAGGCAGCTCTCCACCCCCAGTTTGGTCATACAGTGGAACAGTAAGTACTGCCTGTTCCCCTTCTCCCACCTTCCTGGTTCCTCTGTCCTACCTCCTGTTCTGTGGTCTGCTCATAGTTCTGGGTGGCTTGTGTGGTTTTTTCAGTAAATAATAAGAATTGAAGTGGAATTCACACACCTAATAAACTGAGATTAGTCAGAGATACTAAAAGTAAAACTGTAAGACAGCAAAGGCAATAAGGGCAGTACTTCAAAAGGAAATGTCTCTGAAGGTTTGGGCACTGTACAAGAAAGGGTACCAGGAAGGCAGGATTAAACTAAACCGGATGAACAGCAAGGTTCAAGAGTCTATTTCAACCAAACAGGAATCCCTCAAATTTTGGAAACATGATCCTAGGGAAACCAATAAACAGGAACTTAAACTTCAGCAGGCGTTAAGTAAGAGGAAATTGCAAAGAGCAGAAGTAGGTTTCCAAGAACAAACATTAAAGGATTTAAAAATAAACAATAAAATATTCCTTAGGTTTATCAGAAACAAGAGGCCTACAACAGAATTTGTACAGGCTAAAGAAGATAATGATGCTGTTTGGAAGATAAATGACTTTCCTTTATGGCGTCCAACTTTCTTGTTCAATACATTCAGGAGGTTTCTAGGTTTCTGCTCTCTATAGTCTTTTTCTGGCAATAACAATTTCTCTTTGAGTAGTGAGATATTGAGAAGTAGCAATGGTGGAGAGAGAACACAGAGTACATCAGGGCTAAAAGGTATATTTAAGGGTTTGAAAGAACTCTAAACAGAGAATTGCTGAGTTAATAACAATATTTCTACACAAGAATCACCCTGTCGTATGGCTTTGGGAGCAGAAAATACCATCTAATTGCTACTGATTTTACGAAGAAAAATAGGATTTTACTTTATCTTTACTTTAAATTCTTCAGTATGCATAACCAGATTACAAAATTACAGGTAATTTAAAAACTCTCTCCTATATGACACAACAAACTTTGGCTAGAATTAAACCTGTAAAATGAAGGCTGTAGATAAGGAGTTTGGAAGCAAATTTAAAAAACAGGCTTAGATAATCTGGTCTTCATAACAATAAAGAAGGTCTAGATTCATCACAATTTTAAAAATAATAAATTTATAATAATAAAATTTAAATAAATAATAATAAAATAATACATTTTGAAATTTTGTTTTAAAATCTCCAAATAATCACTGAACACACCTGGCAAATTGATCATTTCTGCTATGGATTAAATCACTTCTCAAGATGATTCTACTTTCAGTGATAAAACCTTTAGACCTTAATCTGAATTAAATTCCTAAACTGAGGTGGAATGAATCCTGGCCTAAGCTTCTAGTCCAGCTCGATATTAAAACAAATGGGTACCTTATTTCTTAATGATCTGGTAAATGGATAAGTACTTTATTGACAGCATTTACACAGGATGCAATGTTAGTCAGTTTGTGAGGAACAGGCAGAGAGAATGTGAGAGATACAATGAGAAGAGAGAAAGAAATCAATGCACTAATGAAGTTCAAATTAAAGAAATCAAGATACATGCAGAAAAAAACAGAGTATTCTTTTTCCATTACAAGCTTATAAATCAATGCAAAGAATGTAATTGGAATCCAGAGATCCCCAAGATGACTGGTGTTCACTATTCACATTAACTCAAAAGTCCAATCAGACCATATTCCAAGTTTCATAAACAGTAGGAGGAGGATGATAAAGAATTCTGCAGTACCACTACAGAAATCACACCATGTGACCACACCTGAAGAACTGTGCATTCTGTATGCTGACAGCCACAGCCCCTGAGGGACACTGCAAAACTGAGACTGGGGGGGAAAACAATCAAAGAAGTACAATTAAAGATCTGTTGCCATCACGTTTGTGACACTTCATGACACACTGGTTTTCCCTCTCTTAGAGTACAACACATTTAAATACAAAACAATAAAAGGAAA